AGTTTCAATCAAACCATATAAGATCTCACCCACCCCAAACTGAAAATTTTACCTCTAAACCTATGAAATGTTTCAGAGATTAACGAATGTTAGAAATCTCGTTTTATTTCATACATAAGCTGTAAAACTACATTCTCTGTACTAAGGTTTTTATGTACTTCCTCATCAAAACAAAGATTCTGAACTGAATTTTGATAAATGAGATTACTTTTCATTTGTTCTGGCGGAATGATAATGATCATTACCATTATGTTAGTCAAAATAAAGGTTTATTTCACTAATAATAAAACTTCTACAATGTTTTCTAATAATATTGATCAAATTAGGTTTATCCTTATAGTTTGGTTAAGTAGAATACCATTTGTTTACTACAACTGTTTTTTTTTTAATTTTGAGATAATGTTAGATGTACTTTAGACTTCAAGTATTTGAACTTGCATGGTTATTAAAACATTTTATAACTATCGATTCAGTGTCGTAATGTATATATATACTTTTGTTGACTTTGTTTCTTTGATTAGTTTATATTCGGGTATTAGTGATAGAACTTTGATGTGTCAAAATATCTTTATACATTAAAGATTAATTATCTAATATAGCACATTCTGTGCGTACTTCAGCTGGCTATTTGAAAAATATCATAAGGCGATTCTATCGTTGTTTTGTGAACTTAATTTTGTTAGATTAAATCATCGATTGATTTTAGTTAAACATCCATTGAAAACTAGGAAACGGTGTGTAGCTATCCTGTTCTACCGTGAGACTCCTTAGTAATGAGTATTCACAACCCCACCGGGAATCTAAATTAATATATCTGGGTCTCGAGGTGTTGTGTTTAACCGCTATTCACTGACATGTTTAACCTTAATCAATCCGCCGTATTGCGAAACCATATTCAATGTCATCTGTGGGTAACTGCTTCACACGCATATGCTCAATAGTAACTGGTTTTGAGAAATAATCCACAGAGTTTTGATAAGAAGCCTTGACCTGTGGAGTTCAAACATTTTGAGTGTGAAGCACTTACTTATCAATGACACTGGGAGATAGTTGAGTGATATAAAAAATAACTAAAGTTAAACATAAACTAATGGATGAATTATCAGTGGTGTAGAAGTTAAGGTCTTGGGTTTGATCACCGGTATGGTTATAGATGTACACTGGTGAAGAGTCACAAACTAGGATGAAACAGTTGTCTAGTGTATTCTGGTTTTCAGTGGTTGTTTACCTATAGTCAATCACTGATGCTATTTATAAAATTCAACGATCTCCACAACTCTTCCCCTTACAGTAACTTCATTTTTCATGGTTAGGTTTCAAATATTAGTAAGCGGAATGCATTAGCTCAAAAGTCACTATGATGAAAGATAAGAGAAGTCTTGTAATGTTTGAAATTCAAATACACCTTTGAGAGCATGATTTATGTGTAAACACCAATACGTCATAATTAACACGTATACAATAAGTTGCATTTAAATGAATTTTCCCGGTTATGAAAAACTATAGGTTGATATAACTAGTGTCTGTACACATGTTGTGTTCAGTAATTATCACAATAGTTGCTTTTATTTAAGACTATTTTAGTGGTCATCGTTACGAATCAATATTACATATTTCATGCTAGAAAATATGTTTTATGTTTAGTTAAGGCATTTCCTTGTGCGGGATGTATGTTGTCATAGTAACGAAAAAAAGAATAAAAAGCAAACCCTTATTGCTTAAATTCATTGTTGATTGTAACTACCTTGTTTTGACAAAAAAAGATTTTTTTCTTGTATGCTAAATTCATAGTAACTTGTAATTCTGCCTGTCTAGATGAAAAATACACTGTTGTAGACTCACAAAACAATACAGTAAGGGAGAAGAAACATCAGTTACATCCATCTGTTATTCTATCGTTAGCTTCTTCTCTGAAGTCATCTCCTCAAGCAAGTTAATATGGTTTTTTTGAATAACAGTTGATGCAGACTAACACTGTTTGACATTTCACTAGGTAAGGAAAAGTTTAGTTTCGCGATAATTTATGAAGTAAAATAAATCTCATATTCGTTGTAACAAGGTGAAAAACTAGTCATTGATCAGTGTATTTAAACTCTTCATTTGTAATGTAATTTTTGAATAAGAAAGCAACGCGAATACAAAGAAAAGAAATGGTGCAGAGAATGTCAATAACACAATTACTGAAGAATTCTATTTTGGATTATATCAATAACCATTTGATGAACCTACTGTTATATGATATACTGCATAAAACTCACAAATGGTAAGTCTAATTATTAGGTGAACAATGACGTTTTCTGGTTTGCAGCACTGAACGAATCATTCAACCCAACTGGATAGATAGAAGCAGAACAACTCCAAGAACAAGGAGCATCACGGATCATTACAAAGTAACCACCTAGTGTCTAAGCACCTCGGCTCTACAAATAGCTTAATTGCAACGGTTCTAGTGAAAGAAGTTTGAATCTCATGGGGAGCATCAGCTCAATCGAGGTTGTAAATGCACCTTGCAGAAGTAATATCAATTAATATATAATCAAACCTTAATGGTAGTAGTTCACGACTCCAGATCATATATTTTATGACTAAATGGGACTAACCTCTGCTCACCACGTTATGTTTGAATTGTATGTGGTCGGTACGAACAAAATTCACGTTTAGATCACCAATTTACCATGCTTTTATTTGTGAAAAATAATTGAACTTGAAGATCTTAAGTCTTAAAATTATTTTTACACCAAACTACTTGGAAAAAGCACCACGTATAAACATACACCTAATGTCTAGCTCTAAATTTTTAACATAGACGAGCAATGTCCAGCTCATTTCCTACTATTCTTCTTTGCTATAATGTGACCTACTGAACTATAACAAGCTGTGATCTGTGGAGTCAACTGAATGGGAGCTGAGGCATAAAAACACCAATCGAGTGAGGTAATGGTCCCAATATATTGCAAATTGACTGAAGTCGCAAACGTAAACAGCTGGACTTTAGCTCGATGATCGGTTTGTATTGTGCTACCAGCAATATCGGGAGATCTTTTGTTTGATTGTGTGGGGGTGTTGGATCTCCAGAACTCACTTGGTAAATACCTTATTATTGTAATTCTATTTTTAAATCTCTTATTTTCGCGCCTAAAGCGCTTATTTTTACCTTCATGTCATATTTTCCACTTGGGATGATCTTAAACGCTATTGGTTCGTTGTACTTTTTAGTGTGCTATTTTGTAACGTTTCCCCAAGACATTTTAACGTTGTATATATACGCTTGCGTTGTGCTTGTTGTTCGTGCTTCTGGTTGCTTGTGGAATATATTCCCTTTTCCGTAATTGAACTTCTCTCTCTAGTTAGCGGGACTGGGACGCATTGGAATAACTAGCTTATTAACCATTGTGTTACAGTCTTCGTTCCGTCCTCAGATTAGATGAACTCATGATCTCTTCAAAAATAGCAGATTGTGTACTGCTGGGGAATCAATTATTAAAACGAAACGATCGCCAAAGTACTGCTGGATCAATTTTCAAATATTAGTTTATGATCAAAACTTTCCTACACATTGAACAAAACTTTACAAATCACTCTTTCATAATAAATTTATTATTAATTGTATTAAGTGAAATGGAAAGTTACTAGGCATGTTTACGTAAAAACGAACTAGTGTACAGTGTAAGGTAAATGAAAAATTTCGGAACATATATTGATATAATGAGCCAACCAGAAGTAGACAAACTAGGTCAATGGACCTGAAGGGCAAGTTCATATCATTGATAAACAAATGGATTTATTTTATAAGGGGTATATATATATATATATATATATATATATATATATATATATATATATATATATATATATAATTGTATTGTAGAATTGAAAATATAAAAGTAAAACGTATGTAAAACATTACAAATAAGTTTATATCACGAAGAAAATAGACATACGAAAGTGAATTCGATAAGGAATTATTTAGTCTGTAAACAAAATACACCATTATGCATAATTCAGATTAAACATATTAAACAGAGAATGAAAACTCAATTTATAAAGTGACAATGTTACATTGTTTAGGTAAATAAGAAAACTAATAGTTGTTAATAAATAAAAATAACATATTTTTAGATATCCCAATGAGTAGAAAAATTAGATTTTCTAACATTTCGTGACTTAGTGTAAGCCACTTCTTCAGAGAATTTATTCATTTTATTAATAACAATCTACTCAATGCTCGAATTATTTGAAATTACCAAGTCAAACTTTGGTAATGTTACATTACTTATTTGAACACATAAATACTGATGCAAAACGGCAACGAGTACATATGCACCACACAACTCACTTGATTTGCATGTGGGCTATGATACTACCCGGATGCCCTGACCGAAGCAGGTGGTTTCGTTAGGGGGCCACATTCGGAGTCATAGACCTAAAAGGCTGATCCACAAGGCAGTGGAGCAACGTAAGGAGATGCAGTTACATGGTCGCCGGTGACCAGCGATTGGTACATACGCCATTTGTTCCTTCAAGATACTGGAGCCCATGTGCACCATTGGTTTGGAATCAGGATTTTTCATCTCACCTAGGTGGATCAATCCATGTCCATCAACCCGGTTAAAGCGCTGGACATTCGCTTTTCGTCCTCTCAATTTCTTAAACAGTAATGCTGCGAAAAGGAATTCCCTGAAAGTGGCTATGTACGCGTGACCATGTGAGAGCATTTCGAGAGGAAGAACTGTCCATCCTCACCCGTATCAGGGCATTTGGGGTGGTAATGATACCTAATAATTGCTCAGTTTTAAATACGTTAACATAATCGTAGTTTGGTTATTATATGTGCTGAGAAATGAAAGAAAATCTCTGCTACCTTATTTAGCATACGGTTTGATAGAGTTTGATATTTAAGCTGAGGAGTTTTACTACTGACTTAACCTAATCCATCAAATTAAACATACAAATTTCGAAATTAAAAACGTGTTTTTTAAGAAGGTACTTTTAGTAGTTACGTGTTAGACATGAATCTTTGAAATAGAAGCATTAACGAGTTGATAAGCTTGGAATTTTGATATTATTAATTGAATATTTAACGTTAATAATTACACAAGTACGAATGTTTCATTTAAAGAATACCATAATCAAATCTAACTACTTGTTAATGATCAAGTTCTTTCTTCTTCTATAAGGAATTGAACTAATGATTAATAATACTATTTTCTTAATGAAACATTCGATGTTATCGTACCCCCCCCCACCAAAGAAAACACATGGTAATAAGAGGAGATAATTTTTAAAGCATCCAGTTATTGTAAATTAAATTAAAACGGAATAAATTTCCTAAATGACATATTGTCATTATCACTACATTCATTTTTTTTTGAAAATAGAACAGAGTTTAACAATAAAACAATCTTCCACTCTAATGGCATAAATATATACATAGCGACTTTCCACTAACCAATTAAAGTTTTTGATTTGGTTGGTAAACTTTTTGATTGTGTGGATTTGTAGTTGTAAACAACATATAAGACTGCTCCAATAGTACTTTAGAGAGAGAACATATGAAAGAAAAAACAAAGATAAATGAAAGAAATTTCATAGTATCAATTTTTTTAACACGTTCTATTTTTTGTATAATTAAACATTAGGATTCCATATACGTAAAATTCTTTTCAATGGATTTTTTGTCCTTGCGAAACAATGTTTCATTGGTTTTGTGCTTACGATCAATCACTAAACGTACGTGCAGTCAACTGTCCGATGTGTGGCGCTATAACCAACTCATAGTTGCGCCGTCGGCATTAATAAGAGACCAAGTAAAGGCCCTTTTCAGGGCCACCCACAATTTGATTTACATTATTTTGTTTCCAACTCTTATTTCTATGGCAAAGGTCAAGTAATGAAGCAATTATTGATGTCTAATGAATTTTGATATAAATAAAGCAAGAACAAATAGTATGAATTCAGATTATTTCGAGGTTTCTCGTCAGCTGCTTACAAACCAAAAATGTGATAGAATTTTTACATTGAGATAGAGTGAAAACAATTGACATAAATGAGTGTAAATAACTGAGTTACAATAATAACTATATATATATATATATGCTAGAACAGGTCACACATTTCCACCCCCTGATCCTCTTAAATTATCTTAACTTTTCAAATTCTATTTAATTATTATTACCCAATCTATCTTATGATTATTTAATTCCATTATTACACCTCCCAACCCGAATTAATTCCTTTTGACCTCTGACCTGTTTCTAGCATATATATATATATATATATATATATATATAGTTATTATTGTAACCCAGTTATTTACACTCATTTATGCCAATTGTTTTCACTCTATCTCCATGTAAAAAATTCTATCACAATTTTGGTTTGTAAGCAGCTGACGAGAAACCTCGAAATAATCTGAATTCATACTATTCTGCATCAATAATTGTTCTTGCTTTATTTAAATTCATAAAGGGAACCAATTGCATGGAATTTTGATATACCTTACAGATTAATAATCGAAAAGTGATTATCACTCAGGTAGTCGTAAACTTTTTTTATAACGTTTATGACATATAAAGGTTGAGAAATCTTATACAATAATTTGTCATCTAATAATTTTAGGGTTTAAAATAATGTGATTACCGTTCATGCCTTAGTAACACATTTGTAATCTATCTAATAATAGTACATTTTAATTGAAATATTTCAATATAGTAGAAATTGTTATTTTGTTGTAAGGTCAATGAATAGCGCAAATACATCACATTTTTCAGATCAACTCCATCTTCTCATTGTTCTATCGAAATTTATAAAAGGGACTGATTGCTTTGAATTTAAAATTATATTTAATAGTGAATATAATTACACTAATTAATGTGATTATAGGTCATAGAGAAGTAAACACAATTGAGAATATTATCTTATGTATAAATAAAATAATGAAAATATAAAGCAAGTTGAAACCAGATGATTAAAGGTCATATAGGTGTAAAAAGAAATGAGAATATTATCCGTTTCATGAATACAAAAATAAGAATTTTATATTCTTGTTTTATATTTAAAGAACCTGAAACCAGAATTATGCGTACGTATGAACTACATCTGATTGTTACCTTGGCCTTCATTACTATTCATAAATATTGATTATAACACCGTATTTATTTTTACATCTGTATATTACCTTTAATTACTGGTAACAAAGTCACTAATTCACTTATTATATTGAAATTAAACGTCATTATACCTAAATGTGAATTGATACAATTGATCTTATTCATTATTAATATGTATAATTGAGATAGAAATTTATTTCATCAGACAACGTAGGCTTATTCATTGACACTTAATACAACCAGTATTTCAAATGCTTGTCAAAAATGGTTATATTCATAATGTACAGCTATTTCAGGTTTCATATTATTAAGAACAGTATTCACACATGACGAAAATGTACATACAGTTTTTTTATTGTTCCTCTATTATGTTTCATTCCATACCTTTATTTATTTATTTTAACACAGATATTGGTACAAGGAGGCACCAAATACATATGCGCCACACAAATCTCATCAGATATGTGTGAGGGCGGTGATACTGTTCGGGTGCCCAGACCGAAGCAGGTGGTTTTCTTAGGGGGCCACCCCCCCCGAGCCTTCGACCTGAAGGTCTGACCCACAAAACAGTGACGCATCGTAAGAAGATGCAGTCCCATGGAAGCCGGTGACCAACAATTGGTTCATACGCCAATTGTTCCTTCAGGATACTGGAGCCCATGTGCACCATTGGTTTGGGATCCGGTTAAAGCGCCGGACATTCGCTTTTCGTCCTTTCATTTTCGTAAACAACACCCCCATATCTTATAAATAAGTAACGTTTGCAACGTCATTTACATATGACATTTAATAATTCATGTAAACAGTTTGCTAGATTGAAAACTTAGAAAATATTTGCTATTGAAATAACATAAAAAAACCTAATGCTCACTTCCCAAGACCAATAAACACACAAGTATTTATTATCATAATTATAAACGGCTGAATTACAAAGAATGTACAGGTAAAAACAATTAACGCTTTTAATGGATTAGCAAAATAACCCTATTGAAATCTGGCGTTTTATTAACGAAACCGTTTATAAAGCGAAAGTAAACAACTATTTTGTATTAAGAATTACTATATACAAAATAATCCAATCATAAATACTAATTGCCTCTTTCTGAGAAATTATTACTACTTTCGCTTAATTTACCGATCCTTCACGGTTCGCGTGATTTATACATCCCGTATTTTATCATGATGATTTGTTGATATGTTGATTTTTCTTTCTAATTAACATACCATGTGTTAAGAAAAAACTTATGCACACAGTTAGGTGATAATTTGGTTATTAAACATTTGACTACCTTTCTAATTCAGTAATCACTATTATCAAATATTCAAACCGGTTCTCAGTTCTTTTTTCCAAAACTTTCTTTTCATGAGATACATTTATAATTAATCCTGTCAAGATAATTAACGATTTCAATTCAAGGTCTACTTGATCGGAAAACAAAAATTTATCCTAATACACATTCACTAACAGTAGTATTGCACGGTAGTGAAATTGAGTTGGTGTATTTTTCTTCAAAAGTTTAAATTTTTTTCAAGACTAAGATTACATAAAAAGAATTATTCATTATCATTAAATTTCAAATATAAAAATGCAAATTATGTCACCTAATCAAAGCACCTAATGCTATTTCAATTTCAAAGAATCAGATTGCAAAGATGAACAGTTTACGACCAATTAAAGGTGACATTTTGTTCATAATCACTTGAGTACACACATGCAAAACAAATACACCTATCACCGATCGCTAAACTTTCCTTTCACACCATACAATTTCTAAAAAATGGGTGGTAGGGAATCATAATTGCCGCCCCCTTTAATGTCAACATTATTTGAAATAATCCATAGTGTCATTGAATAAGAAAAAGAGAATTCAGCGAAGAAAATTTTCTCGACGAAATCATTTATTAAAGCTGTACATTCGTACATATAGTTATATATGGAAAATATATGTCTATAGGAGAATAGAAAAGATTGCATCACCAAAAATAGATTCGAGAATAAATAACAAATGACGTTACGTACTAATCAAGGGGTAACGAAGAAAATCATTTATAGGTCAGATAAATAGTCCAATTGACAGATATGAAGAAAAGCGACAAACACAAAAAGGTCATAATAATAAACTGAATAGTAGTCAACACAACCTGTATGGGGTAATAATAACTGATTACAGTTTAAAATGTAAAACAGTAATTTATAAAGTTCAATAAAAATCAAATAAAAGTGCAGAAAAAACAAGCAGAAAAAAGCACAACCTCGAAATATACCCATTAAAGGAGTTAAGGCCAAGGAAGGATGAGAGGTTAAACAAATCGTTTCTGCACGCAAAGTTCAGGCTTGAGTTCATGGATTTCCAATAACTCAGCAGTGCATAAAATATTGATTCGAACCCCCTTCGATCCAGTTCCTTTGACTCTGTAGATTACTTTAAAAGAACAGTCCTTTGGAGCGATATATCCTGTATCGAACTAGTAATTGTTTTATATTCTCCCTTTAAGAGCCAGGCTGGATAGTGTTCCGAGATGCGTTTCGACAGTGATCGATTTGTAAGGTTTATGTAACGTGCCCCACATGAGCAAGTAAATTTATATATTAAAATTAAAACACGAAGTTCAGAGAAGGGATCTCTTTTCAACGAATTTATTATCAAGCTCTACAATCGTATATCTATATGAAAATTTTGTTTTTGTAAAAGTACTAATTCCGTGTGGAAATGTGGACACAGTTAATAAAAAAGGGTTATAATACTAGATTACGTAATATTAATAATAACAATAGATTTAGTGAATATAATAAGATGATTAAAATGTTTTTGTCATAATAATTAAAGGTCATAGAGGTGCAAAAATAAATATGGTGATATGATGAGTATTTACGAATGAAACAATGAGAATATAAGACATGAGTAAAGGGGGGAATGCAGTAATAACAATAATAATAGTAATAATAATAATAATAATAATAATAATAATAATGGATGGTAAGAGTTTCGGCTATTTTTAAGAGTTGGATACGAAGAAATCTGGGTAGATTTGAACGAATCATACAAACAACCTTAAAGTTAATTTGTGGGTCTGTAGAATGGTTATAGTCGATTAGGTGTTCAAGCATAGAACTCCTAACTGCTTTCCTTTCACCCTTATAGAACAAAGTTGGGATATGTTCCCGTATCCGAGTTGAGAGCGAGCGCTGGCTACGGTCAATGTACCTTGCTCCACAAGAGCAGGTGAACTGGTAGATGCACATGGAGGCGACCAGACGCGGAAGCTTATCTTTTATGGATACAGAAAATAAGTTTCTACTAGTGAAGGTTATTCGCAGTTTTTCCGCGTTAAATGTTCTTCTAATAGTTGTTGTTAGACGATTTTTGATTGTCTGACTGTTTCATGGCTAAAGTAGAAAACGACCAACTCCGTTCAATTGTCAATCGATTCCACCTATACGTGAGATACATGGACGACACGTTTGTCGTTTGTGACAATAAAATTGATTTAGATGATATTCTACACACCTTTAACTCATGCCACCCTTCCATAGATTTCACATTAGAAAGGGAACGAGACCAATCAATTCCTTTTCTCGATGTACGTCTGATGAGAAAGAGTAATGGTTCTTTAAAAAGATCCATCTTTAGAAAACAAACATGGAATGGCCAGCTAACCAACTTCTATAGCTGGGTTCCGTTAAGTAGGAAGAGAAACCTTATCCATTCTTTATGCTATCGCATACATCAGATATGCAGTACGGAATGCATTAACGAAGAACTCGCATTCCTCAAGAAGACTTTGACGAAAAATGGTTACCCAGAACGGTTCATAGAAAAGAATATGAATAGAAGTAGTCACGACAAGAATTCTAGTTGTTCCGTTCCAAAGAAAAACCTTCATATAAGTCTGGAATTTAAACGTGATCGAACAGCGGACGCAATCAAAAATCGTCTAACAACAACTATTAGAAGAACTAGACGGTAGTCTCGTCCTGGCATGGGACTCCTCAGCGATGCACATCAGACGTACATCGAGAAAAGGAATTGATTGGTCTCGTTCCCTTTCTAACGTGAAATCTATGGAAGGGTGGCATGAGTTAAAGGTGTGTAGAATATCATCTAAATCAATTTTATTGTCACAAACGACAAACGTGTCGTCAATGTATCTCACGTATAGGTGGAATCGATTGACAATTGAACGGAGTTGGTCGTTTTCTACTTTAGCCATGAAACAGTCAGACAATCAAAAATCGTCTAACAACAACTATTAGAAGAACATTTAACGCGGAAAAACTGCGAATAACCTTCACTAGTAGAAACTTATTTTCTGTATCCATAAAAGATAAGCTTCCGCGTCTGGTCGCCTCCATGTGCATCTACCAGTTCACCTGCTCTTGTGGAGCAAGGTACATTGACCGTAGCCAGCGCTCGCTCTCAACTCGGATACGGGAACATATCCCAACTTTGTTCTATAAGGGTGAAAGGAAAGCAGTTAGGAGTTCTATGCTTGAACACCTAATCGACTATAACCATTCTACAGACCCACAAATTAACTTTAAGGTTGTTTGTATGATTCGTTCAAATCTACCCAGATTTCTTCGTATCCAACTCTTAAAAATAGCCGAAACTCTTACCATCCATTATTATTATTATTATTATTATTACTATTATTATTATTGTTATTACTGCATTCCCCCCTTTACTCATGTCTTATATTCTCATTGTTTCATTCGTAAATACTCATCATATCACCATATTTATTTTTGCACCTCTATGACCTTTAATTATTATGACAAAAACATTTTAATCATCTTATTATATTCACTAAATCTATTGTTATTATTAATATTACGTAATCTAGTATTATAACCCTTTTTTATTAACTGTGTCCACATTTCCACACGGAATTAGTACTTTTACAAAAACAAAATTTTCATATAGATATACGATTGTAGAGCTTGATAATAAATTCGTTGAAAAGAGATCCCTTCTCTGAACTTCGTGTTTTAAATTCATATATACACATTAATGTGGTCCAAAGCGGAAGTTTGTCCTTAACACATCCCAGAATGGTCGGCTAGAAAAAACAATTCAGAGCTTAGCTGCGTAGAATGTTTTATTCAATGATTTTGAAATCTCTTTATTTAGAATTTCAGCAGCCGTGTCTCCTTTAAATTCCATATTCATAAAGAGTTTTCTTCAGTACTGTCGATGCTTTTTCATGAAACCTGGGTGTCAAGTTGCTAACGACGAATCTAGGTGGATAACTATTTCTGATGAGGGTCTGTCGAAGATGAAATAGTTCCCTATCCGTTTTGTTAGCGAAACAAATTCGCTTGATCCTCGAAGATAAAAAGTGGATTAGGTTCTTTTTTCTACTCAGTGGGATCAAACTATGGAAATTTGTGTATTGTCCATTCCAGGTAGGTTTTCTATACATAGATCTCTGTAAAAAGCCATCCGGCATTCTTTTTAAACGGACATCAAGAAAATGAAACTCATGGTTTGCCTCTGCTTCTAAGGTAAATTGAATTGATGGGTGACAATTATTGGAAATATTCAAGATTTCATTGAGTTTCATGTCTTCTTCACAAATAATGAAAGTATCATCACAACAAGGGCGGCCTGCTAGAGCATCTGGGCTACCTGTTCCTGCCATCCAGATATTTCAACAAGTTATCTATTTTTGTTTGTTTTAATACATCAATATGTTTATTAATCGCATGATGTATTCTGCTGCGTTTCTGAAAAGTGTACAACCTTTCGTTGTCAAAGTTACAAAAAACTCAATAAGAGCCAATGTGGTTGCTGGCAATATACAGCGAAAAGAATGCACATTATTCAGATGTTCATTTACTGAACTGCTAACATCTAACTGGCGATTACTCAATATTTATCGCCAGGACCGACCAAGAAGAAAGAAACGGAAACATGTTGAAATACTTTACGCTGAGAATTCTATATTGTACCAAAAATATAATATTGAATAAAGCTGATAATAATAATAATAATATGTCTCTTATATAAATTAAATCTCTCAATTATTGGTCGAAGTACTGATTTTTCTAGATTGGCCGTGAAACAATCAGCCAAGAGAGGACCCAAAAATTATTTTCATTCTTACCTCTTGATCAGTAAAGTAACCTCGTTTGTTATTTATTCTCGAATCCATTTTTGTGATGTTATCTTTTCTATCCCTCTACAGACATATATTTTCCATGTATAACTATATATATACGAATGTACAGCTTAAGTAAATGATTTCGTCGAAAAGAACATTCCGTTCGCTGAATTCTCTTTTTCTTATTCAACATTAATTATTTTATTTTAAAAAGGCTGTATATAGAAAACTTTTAGCGGTAAAATATCTGTTGTATGTCTTACCTATAAACCAGAGACTATTTCCAAGTACTAAGAAAATATTCTATCCAGTTAACTGAGTTCCGATAATTAGCCAAGCACAATGAGTTAGATAACGAGAAAATAAACATAATTTGACTACTGATTGTTGAGTTATGGATATATTCACAGTTAGGTATAATCTGTCATCTTTGTCTATGAATTTTGTTAGTATTTATTAAGTTGAATTCATATCCAAAACTCTTGATCAATTTACATTTTATCAATATTTTGAGACAACAGAAAAAAATGTACCTAACACTGATTTTATTTCAGCTGTTTCATTCCACGTTTAGGATTGGTGGTGATTAGGATCAGCTAATTATCATGATAACCACTACTGAGAGGTGAAATCGACACCTTAAAAACATACGAAAAATGCTTATCAGCTGGTTAACTTGAAAATCAGTATTGAAGTTATTTTTTATATATGTGGGTTTGCGTTTCTGGAGAATCCATCAATTGCATTAGTTAAACTACAGACGTTGTCCACATACGTGTATTCGAAAGAATTCATACACAATAAAGTAAAAAGTGAATGAGAGAGTGGGCTAAAAATGACTATACTACAAAGTTAACATACCTTACAGTAAGACCAGTGAAATTTAGGGTCGTATACACATAGTCACCACCAACAAACATCCCACCATAGGTTACCAATATGTTCTGTTCAAAAAGATGAAAATTAATTAGATTTAAAAACAGTTTGAAAGCTATTAGTTATTACTTACTGCTTCTAAAGATTCTCTTCTTTCTTTTACTTAAACTTATCATTATCGAATGGATAATCATCCTACAGAATTACCATTCATAATAATAATAACATTTTTACATCAATATTTAGAACCATCAGGCAACCTTCTTTTAATTGCTTTTAAAAATTCAGTCAGGTTTAGGTATTAATAATAAGCCGTACTTTCGAATAATCACTAAAATTCTTATTCTTTTCTTTAAATTAATCTTATTTATTCTGCAAAACATAACTAAACATCGAAACATTACACATCAACAATTGTAAGCTTGAATACCGTTGACTGTTTTTCAACGCAACAATAATTACTCTATAGAATATATACAACAAAGTGACTCACTTTAATGACACCTAAAATGCTAGTTGTTAATGCAGAAGTATATTGAGTACATTGAATAAGAGTATAGTTTAATGCCACAGCAGAACAACAGGAGAAAATAAAATACAATAAAAATAGAGGATTTAGCCAATGTTCAAATTGGATGATCTATAGCAGAGAGAACAAAAAAAGGAAGAGAAAGAAAACGTTATAGTGGTCTTAAGTGCTGTTGGAATTATGAGGGCGGTTATCACTCCGCGGTTGCCCATACCGTGAAAGGGTTCTTCTGGAGGTACCTGAAAAGGAAATTGGATTAAAGGTGGTCTTAGAGACCTGACAGAGTGACTGCAATGTCCAAGAGACAACTGCTTGAGGTCGGTCATACACGACCTTTTTGTGAGTAATTTTCGTGTTAGCTCCGTACTTGTTGAGACCTTACCGCTCGAGATGGATATCCGTGGGATAAGGCGAGGTGTGCATTTTAGGGTCGACCTTTTCCAACCCCACCCCCCTTGTAGGAAGGCAGCATCGCTGCTATGCTGGTCGTCTGAAGGAAACACCTTACTGTCGTCACATCTCTGTACAGTCAGCAGTACGCCCTCGGACCTTGAATTTGCTGCTTTTAGTCTTACCTCTCTTCAACCGACCTGTCTGGCATAGTAGGACCTTGAGGAATGATTGTTCCAGCCAGTATAGCTCGACTGGTTTATCACGATAGGCAAGCCCGACTCCCACGTCAAGGTAGCAACAACGGTCGGGATAGTGTTATATAGGTATCAATGTCAATATTAAACTTGATAGTTTCAAACGAATTGAGCATTGGGTAGGAAGGTAATAAATATATTTTTTGTTATATCGAACTGAGTAGAAAAATTGTATTTTTTACGTTACGTGACCACATGTAAGCCACTTTTTTTTCATAGTAAATTCTACAATGTTATCTTTGTACTATTTAAACTTGTATTAATTTAATTCGGTTATTTATTTACTTTGAAGAAGTGGCTTACATAAAGTCATGAAGCGTCAGAAATACAATGTTTCTACTCATTGTGATACAACAAAAGATATATTTACTACTGTTATAGTGTTATGTTTAGCGAATTAAATATGAAGAAAATGTACGAATTAGAGTATTCTTTGAGATTTTAAGAGTGAAATATTTTAAAAATTAGTACTTAAGACAGAAACTTAATCAGCCAGTGCCCTCTTGAAGAAAGGTTAAAACAATTAGTCCCTTTGATAAATTTGGATCGTGTAACAAGTAGATGAAGATTATCAGAACTATGTAAAGCCTTGGCTACGCGAATATTTAAACCCCGTTTATGTATTCAAAAACAGTTTGCTCTCTCCTCAAACCTACCCTGGTAATATTAACTTATTATTCAGCACGATGAGTTTCACATTATTTTTCTTCTAACCTTTCATTTGTCTAGTTGGCCTTATATTATTTTCACATAGAAGTGTTCTTAAAAAGTATATATGGTCAGATTGTTTGAAATGTATTGTGCCAATAAATATCACATAATTGTGATAATCTTCGTCTCATTACACTGTCTGAAGAAAAGCTCATTTAAGTAAAGACAATATTAGTGATATTTCAGTTAACGAAAGTCAGATGTTTATCATTGAGATGACAACGTAAAACTATTTCACATTGTTTAGCATAAACATCAATAAACTTATCATAAATCCTTTAGTTATTTTCACAATGAAATATTATATCAACGATAAAAATACTACAAGAACACTGAACATCAAAAGTTAGGATGTTAGAGATATACATTATTGATAATAAATTTCAAATCCGCAAACCAATCATGTAGGGATGAAATAGGCATAAGCTACAAAAATAACTGAATGATTAACAATTCTCTCTTCTAGTTGTCTTTCAGATTAACTAAGTAATTACAACTACCTAATAAAGTAGTATTAGTAATATTTACTTAGGACTCTTTTCAGCAGTGATATACTACAGTCTTGCAAGAAATAAAACCAAAAATCTTAAGAAAACAATAACGAGTACTAGGGAGGGGGGGAGGAGACGATTTAAAAATACACTTGCAATGGTATCACTAATTGAGATAGTGGAGATTTGTAGCTTAGGCGGATGATTTTGATGGAATTTCGTTCTCTGAGCTAATGATGAAAGCTCTACGACTAAACCATCCAGTTAAGAGAACAAAACCCCATCAAAATCTCTAATTGACTAAAGTTGGACAATGTAACTTACTTATCTCTTAGTAATCTATGAAAGTAAATTTTTAGTATCTTTTATTGTGTATCATATTTTAAAAAATATTTTAAAACATAAAATTAACTGAGTCTAGGAAAATCTAAGCGCCATGAATGAAGTTTTGAAATTTGAATCACGTATAAGGTTATGATCATTGTTTGTGAACCAATGTCCATTTTGTACATCAAATCATTTCACTTGTAATCATAATTATATCTATAGATTAAATAACAGTTCTAGACTAATTCAAAATAGCTGGTCTTTATGGAGAAATTTTTACTATTCTATAACTACATTTTTCATCATTTTTTGAACCGCCCCAGTGAATAAAAAAGGTATACAATACATTCTTTCCAACTCTGTTTTATGAAGAAAAGAAACTACCAATACCAAGTATTTGATTCTATTTTTACAAAATAAGAATGAACAAGTTCCTAGAATACGATTGATAAGTCGGGATCAAAAGATAAATTCACGTTTTCCCTAACTTAGTGTAACATCATTTCAGTTCAATATATTTGTACCTATTCAGTGTAAATTTCGTTCAGTATAACAGGTGTGAACTTTCACTCAGTGTGACAATTATATTATTTGTACTGTTCTACGTGAACTTCGTGTTTCACAGTGATCCTGGGTACCATTTCATTTAACTAATCAATTGTGTAAAATCAGTATAAGTGAGTGTATTTGGTTTAATGATATGTTACAAAACTTGGCTTTGGAACGTGTTTTAGGAGGGTCAATAAATCTTCATTTGCACTGGTCTTTGTGTTTTTAATTAGCACCATGGGGATGGCAGTGGTTCATGTTTCCAAGTATAAGCAGTAGGACCGTGGATCCAACAGAACCGACCTATACATTGCAAAGGCAATACCCAAATGTAACAATGCATAAACTATATATTTTCCTTTACTTAAATTGGCGATAAATAAGAACACGTGGCAAAAAGTTGACTAATTTCTAACCATTACGAAAGCATGGTTGAATCTACCTACCTACCCATCTATCTATTTACCACAAAAAAGATCATTTGTAATACAATAACGAGACCAAGTAAGACCATTTCTGAGAGTATTTACTTCCGAATAATGAACATAATGTTTAAAAAATACTGAATATTTTTCATAATGTAGTATTCTTACACTGCATGACAAAGAAACTACCAAATATTTTAAGTCAACGAGAAAGGCCAGTATAATTCGATTTTTCGCGATAGAAAACTGCCACTCGTTCTGGAATACATGCCTAGACTCTGATCATGCTCTAATACGAACACGCATTTGTTTGCGCCTCATTAGACGCAGAAGAGAAAGCCAAAGATAGGTTCTATGAACAATTGAAGTCACGCTTAGATAATTTCAAAAACGAGGCTGATCCAGATGTTGCTTGGAAAGATGTCAACCTATCAACTTAGAATACACAGATGACATAATTCTGTTTAGTGAAGACACTGATGAAATCCAGTATCTTGGTAGCTGTTAGGATAGTCGGAAAAATATACCAATAATTATCGTGTTAAGTCTATGGTGGCCTTGGACCTTAAATGTACATTTCTTATTGGTCGATGTTTATTTCACTTGTTAAATATTTTGTAAATGTTGTTTCCTATTTTATGCTACGATGTGGTTTGTTTGTTTGGTATATAAATAGAGTATGTCTGAAATACAATGACTCATAACTCAGAGGCTGTGACTTGTGTTCTTGACTCAACTGGCTAGGACAGACAGCGAAGCAGGGCCAATCAGGGCACTAGGTCGTCCACTACGTGTTTGCGTATCCACTGTAATCGATCGATAAATAAACACTGCTCATCATAACCTGCAGTCCACCCGTTACAACAGTAGCATTGAACAACAATGTCAGTATATTTGGGATGCGTTTCTCCCCTTCTAAATGAAAATTGTTGCTTCAGGACTGGTCTGCGTCAACACCTGAACTAAGGATAGGGGATGAAATAGTCCAAAGCGTCGACAACTTCACTTATCTTGGAAGTCTGATCAGTCCTAATGGGTTGGTATCTGATAAAATCTCTGTACGGGTTGAGAAAGCTCGTTCGGCTTTCGTCAACTTACATCACCTATGCTGAGGGTCAAATATCCGCCTATCAATCAAGGGACGAGTATACTGTGAAGCAGTTCGCCCTGTTCTACTTTCCGACTGAGAAACGTGGCCATTAAGAGTAGAAGGTTTATTATTATCGTGAACTACTAGTATTTGATCACATGTCTTAGAAATATAGCTCGCATCTGCTGGGATCGCCGGGTAAGTAATAGTGAGATTAGACGCAAGGTATTATGGAATGATGGCAAATCGGTTGATGAGGTTATAAATCTTCATCGACTGAGAATTTTAGGTCATGTGTTACGTATGCCTGAACACTGATTACCACGATACGTAATACTGACTAGTGTTGCGGATGCTTGGAAGAAAGAGGCTGCCAAACCAAAACGTGGTATCAGTCCTTGAAGTCACTAACTCGTAGCCATGTCGGTAGATGCAGACTACTTGGTTGGGGTCCGCGCGACTATCGTAACCAATGGTTGGAGACTCTGGGTGACATGGATTGAAATCGACCATAGTGGCGTAGGTGTACACACTCTATGTCTTCTCTTCAACCATGAGATTAAAATCACTTTATGCCTTTCTTCCTACGAACCAATTATTTCTTCCTGTACTATGTCCTTATATGCAATCCTTCTTTTATATATTACTACCATTGAAGTGACTACTTCTATGAACGTGGTCTTCATTTCGTTATGCTAGTGAGGTATGGCAACTTGGACGGATGCATATGTGTGCCTGGTCCTACGTTGTAGATGAAGAACTGACTTATGAATAACTTCCCAAGCCAATTTGGTTCTATCAGTCCATATCTATGTCATCTACCTCAATTAATGTTTTTGTATGAATATAGTGGACGTACATATAGAACAATGGATCCCATATTTTATTGGAAATGAGAAAAATTATCGAAATTTATCAAACAGACATCACGACCGTATTGGTCGATAAAAAATTACGTACCTCTGTAAAGTCACATTGTACATATACCAAAATGAAGAGAATCGGCAGCATTAATAATGAATTAAAGTATAACAACTCAACGCTTGAAAAATCATAATCTCTAAGTCTGGATTTTGTTAAAAGTGCTTTCCCAGTTGTTGAAATATTGTTAATTAAAATATATGTATATCCAATAGGGTCAAAAGTAATATCACCACTAAAATAAAGTTTATAAATTATCATGAAAGATTACTTACATGGCGGCGATTACTGCTCCGATAACCATAACAATGACTGACAAGTAAATAGGAATACTTCTTTTAGTCCTATGAATGTTAAAATTAAGACGAAACAAGCAGATACCCTAATAAAAGATATTCACCAACCATAATGAGAACATTAGAAATCCTTCGCAAAGCTGTAAACAAAGGTAAACTGAATACATGATTTAACGATAATATAAGCTACCTGAGGCTTCCTGTACCGGCAATGCCCATAACAATGTCAACTGCAGAAAAAATGGACAGCGGTAAAATCTACATTAGGTCAGCAATTTAAAGTTTATTTCAAATAACATACCTTAATAGGAACTTCTGTGAAATCATCTGATCGGATGCGATATGAACATAGAGTTTGTATTAGTATGAAAGTAAACAGAGTCTAAAAATAAATGCCGAGGGGTTTTTAGAAGTAACTAACCTGAATTAATGCCAGCAACAGATATGAAGGAAATCTGTGAAATGAGGTTGTACAAGCGCAGGCACTTACTTGAAAGTAGTCAGAACTAATTTGTTTGAAAAAATGATAGAAATAGAAAAACTCATATATATCAGGGCGACAAAAGCAATTCTCCGTACAGACATTTCGACGATTCAAAATTTGACAGATTATAATTTCTTTAAAAAGTATTGAGGAACTTGAGTTTTGTTTACTTTATCTCTAATGAGTAAGCTGAAAAACAACAGTATAATTAGTCATAACATTAAATATAAGTATAATAAAACTGTTTAACAGATATTTGCATGCACAGGTGACCTGCTTGAATATCTGGGCTACCTGTTCCTGCTATCGAGATATTTTAACAGGTTATTTGTTTCCTTGTTTGTTTTAACAGATCATTATATCAATTAATTGTATAACCCATTCGGGTGCGTTTGTGTAAAGTTTACCACTTTTCGCTGTACAAGCTAATAAAATTTACAATAGGAGACATCGTGATGGCTGACAATGTGTATTGAAAGGAATGAACATTATTCAGATGTAGACTTCTTAAATGCTAATATCTAACTGGCGATCACTCAATATTTATCGTCAATATCGATCAAGAAATAAAAAAAGGAAACTCGCTGAAATAATTTGTACCAGAAATATAATATTGAATAAAGCTAATAATAATAATTTAACATAATTTTCATCAGCAATTAATTTATTTCCACTCATAAAAAGACATATTTGTCAAAGACCTCAGAAAACAGTCCAAACAGTCAAAATTAGAATTATTGCAAATATCTAGCTTATCCTCGTTGCTTTAAAGCAAATGTTGTTTAGGTGTGGTATTCTTGTTTATTAGTTAATTTAATTTTATTGGTGGATGCCATATGCTACTTAAACAGTTGGACTTTTGGTTCAGAAGAGTATCAGTTAGTAGATACAATGGTCACTTAGATGTGACCTCAGTTAATGTAAACAATTCAACATATTTTCAGTTTAATAACTAGATTTAAATTACAATCAATAAAGACCTTTGGAATTACCAATTACAATCTACTGCACACACTCATGAAACACTATTTTGATTTCTTATGCTTTGTTTGACCATCAATGATCAAAATAATTTCAAACAAATTAGATGAAACTATATCTATATTACTCCTACTCCGTATCACCTGATGACCACGCTAGGATATGTCTGGGTATAAATTAATGCGGAAGCTCAAGAAACCTACTAGTACTGCCCTGAAACTCTATCGAAGGTTCCCAACACTTGACATATGTATAAGACTATTAAACTAGTCAAGTTTATTCCTATTAAACGTGGATACCAGTTTATTATGTGATGCATGCAACTACTTCGGTGCTCGGCTAAATTTCACAAATTCTCAGTGACTTCGTATTATATAATTCTTACGCGGTAAATTGAATATGCAATGGGAGATAAAAGAAAGGTATACGCCTGTAACAATAAAACATAGTGGTGTCGTGAGGATCTTGTGATCTTTACGTCAACTCTGTGTGGATTTATTCGACACCACCACTCAGCTGATTTCTAACACGGTTGCACAAATTGTTTAACTCGGCCTGTAGTTATTCTAGGGTAACTGTAGGTCCCAAGTCCAGGTAAAGGAAAAGGGTTGGACACCGGGTCAGCAACCGCGTCCCGTTCAAAACAACCTTGTTAAATAAACCCTAAGCATACTGAACAAATTAAACCATTTGCACTTTGTCCTCTGAGTTAAAGTGTCTTCATTCAGAAGAACTATGATGCCTCATGGTGAATGTCGAGATTCTTCGAAAGCTATGAGGTCAACACCCCTTCTAACAAACAGACCAACAGATGATATAAGCACATGGAATGTCCTTACAATGTGGGAGGCCAGAAGGATCAATCAAATAGCTATGGAAATGAGGAGATATAACATCCCAAGCTCCCAATTTTGGGGAAAATTTGACCTATTTTGGGGAAATGGCACAAAAACCCCGAAATTTCTAAAGACCTGGGGAAATTCCGCTTTCACCTTGGTGAAGGTCATTTCACTTCGAAAGTTTCCTCAAAATTTCCTCAAACTTGGGAGCTCGGGATGGAGATGCTCGGGATCAGTGAAACCCAATGAACCCAAAATGGACAGAAAAGGTGAGACTCAGAAGAGATGCTATTGTGTTCTGGCCATGAAGAATAAAATGCTCCGCACACTCGGGGAATTGCTCAGATGCTGTCCAAAGAAGCACGAAAAACACTTATAGGATGGGGATGTAAAGGATACAGAATCATCAAATCATTCTTCAAAACAAAGGAGATCACAATGAATGTTGTCAAGTGTTATGCACTCACCAATGGTAGCATCGACGACGACAAAGATAGGTTATATGGGAGGCTGCAATCGATCATTGCGAAGTGCTCAGGAAACCACCTGGCAATCCTCATGGGCAACCTAAGCACCAAAATAAGAATGGACAGCATCGGGTATGAAGGTATCATGGGACGATATGGAGTGAGAGAAAGGGACGAGAATGATGAGAGATTCAAAAGTTTATGTGCATTCAACAAAATGGTTAGACGACAAAATACTACCACACAAACGCACACACGAAGCTCTACGGGTCTCGCCGTATCACACCACAGAGAACCGGATTGATCAAATTAGCATTACTAAATGACTCAAAATGTCAATGGAAGATGTGCGAACCAGGGAAGGAGCTGACAGAGCTTCGGGAACGGAAAGGAGGAAGACTAAAAGATACGCTGCACCGGGAATCGGAAGCAGACATCTGGAAAGTAATGCCCGAGACAGTTCGATGGAGAGTGCTGGTGGGCGGCCTATGCCTCTTCACGAGGAGTTACAGGCGTAAGTACACCGTGAACATATAATGGAGTAACTACTGTGTCACCATAGATTAAGAACTACCCAAACTCTGGAGTTTGGTAAACTTTGGGTAAATTTTAGGGTTTTTGTGCTATTTACCCAAAATTCCCTCAAAGTTCACTATAGCCCCTTCCCCAAAATAGGTCAAATTTTCACCCGAATTGGGAGCTCGGGCATCTTGACTCCCCTCAAACAAAATATTCCAAGGCTGTCCTCATAAGTGACAAGTTTTAACTATTTCTATGATCAAAAATGAACCATTCACTGTTCATTTTTGACCACTGGTCAAACTCGTAAACTAAGCTTTGTAAAAACCAAAGCTTTTTTCAGAATGTGCAACTGAGTGCTTGTTTCTGAATAATATTTGAGGTGTTTTTGGTATCGATCTTTAAGCAAAATTGTTCTGACTTATACAAGACTACATACAGTATACTAAATGAAATAACTTACTGCTTGACCATTCTTTAAACACTTGGTACTTAAGTCTAACAAAACCAACAGCAACCGGTGAGTTTAAAATTTACGAACGATTTTGAGCGACGCTAAGATGACCTTGAAAATGTCAATTTACTAAGGCTAATTGAGGGTTATAAACGAGTGCAAGGAATTAGAATTGTAATTTACCGTTGATGGTTATAGTTAAGAGATAAACCTAGGGTTTTCATCACGAACTAACATCAGCTAAAATACCAAAAGGTTATTTAGCCAAACAGACAGAAGAATTTTAAAATTCTGACACAATTTTGTCAAAATTCAAGAATTGTTACTCTTAAGCTGACTGATTCATCCATAAATTATAGTTTATCCGGACACTCAAACATATGTTAAACAGACTGATGTGCAGTTTCAGTAACATCTGAAACAAAAAGCCGACACTCTCAGTAGAAGAATGAAGGATAGTGAATATGGAACTAAAAATTATCTTAAATACAGTCTTCGAAATGCTACAGAGACAGCGCACATACTCCACGACACAACAGTTTCGAATTTTTGTTCAGCATTTGAAGTCCCCTTGAACAGTCTGTAATCTACGACCTTCGGAATATCCTGTCATTTTATTGACACCAAATTGACACTGGTATGTTAATAATGTTCATAAACATTAGTTATTCCATTAATATGTATAGCAGCAAAATCGACACTACCTGCCTGTGGCTGATTCGTACCACCTATCACCTTTCGTTTGTGGCTGTAAATAGATCCCCAAAGTCAATGGCACTGTAAGTACTTGTAGCGTGGCGTCGAGTTGAGATTAACTGTGAACACCGCTACCAAGAAACACGTGCCAAATAAATCAGAAGGCGAGGGTTGGACGTAACCAAATAGATCCATAAAATCCCCGAGAAGCCAAATATCAGAAGGCAATTAATGGACCAAGTCGATGTTTATTTGCTGGCGATCTCGTGGCATCGAAAGGATACCGAGATCGTGCCAGGATACAACCTTGGTTACAGAAGGTAACCGAATTCGCGCGAAGTTACAATCAAAGTGTAAGTAAAAGAATGGAAGCACAAAATAGCTGTCATTAGCACAGTCAAACAAAAGCACGTTAAAATAAACACTGGTACAGTTGGTTATAATAATAATTGTTTTTATTAAACCAGTCGTGTTCTCGTGATAAACGTGAGTCACTACAGGAGCCCCCCGCTAGAAAGGGTTTACACTTTCGATAACTAGCGGTTTGAATCGTGGGACTGATCGGCTGACGGGCGACTGTAGGACGGAAGAATTGGCGAACAGGAAAGCGATCGTTGATCGTCGAGTTGCCAACGAAGGTCATTTACGGAGAACGGTACCAGGAGCGATATGCTGTATTTTTTGCTTGAATTGGCATGCTACACCAGAGTGGTTTGTATCCAGGATCTGAAGAGGGCGTTCGTAGAGGTGCGCACCAGAAACGCTGCAGACGTAGGACGAAACCACGTTGAGCCAAAAGACCAGAAGCGACCGTAACGACCAAGTTCGAGACCAAGCGTATGCCAAGCATTCGAAACCAATATATCGACTGAGTACGTTGACAAGAGCGTGGGTGATCAGGCCAGCTTTCGCCAAAGTTGACTGAAGTCGACGGAACCAAATGGAGATGGTCGAAGGCGTGGGCTCAGGAAACAAAAAGAAAATAAAAAAAACAAGAGTGTTTCGTGCCTTAAGGTAACCCTCGTGCTATTGATAGAAGAAACCAGAGAAGTAGTGAATAGGTCTTTATTTCGATCTTCGCGCAGTCACAGTGGAGCGTGGGATTATCTGTTCAGACAAACAAAGGCTCTCAACATTCAAGATAATAGGGAATATAACGCTTATAAAAAATAAGGAAGTGAATGAATACTTGAACAATACTGTTTTGGCATAAGCTTGGTTCTTTGGGGTCAACTCTTAACCAACCAACCTGGGCTGTTACAAGTGTAGCATATGTGTAGTATAGGAATAATCCTACACTGTATCGGTTGTTGACTGTGCGACTAGTCGCGGAAGCGTACGGGTAACCGTACTCGGCGACCGGAACGTGAGACGGCAGTCTCGTTCATATTTCGTGAGCCTACAATCTCATCCGAGGTCAGAGGCGGCGTGGTCTGCCGATCTGGACGTGAGACTGTCGTCTCGTCCGTAGACGGTGCAGATGACGCGTGCTGTTGACCGGGACGTCAGAATGAGGTCTCACATGCATCTAGCGTGGGACCTCAAGAAGATTTAAGGATCCCGCTAGGTTTGATAGGTCTAGCATTGAATCTCAGGGTGTCAGATAGGGCACTGTCATCGACGTGTGCTGGTTTGAGACGATCAATGCTGACGATCTCGACGCGTCCATATCGATCAACCTTGAAGGTCTTTTCGTGACGAGCGATCACGTGAAAAGGGCCTTCGTAAGGTTGTTGCCAATGTTTGCGTACCGAAACATGTGAACAGGTAGATAACTCTCGAGGGAGAGCGACCTGTCGATGTTGTATTCGAGTTGACACCGGAGACAGCGTTCGTATAAATGCAGACAGTCGATGGACGTAGTCTGATTTACCGAAATTAGGTCTGCTCCGTGGTGTGAAGAATTCTCCGGGCAGACGCAATGTCGTGCCGTATACAAGTTCAGTGGCGGAACATTGGATATCTGCCTTCAAGCTCGTTCTAACCCCCAAAAGAACGAGCGTTAAGGTTTCGTGTGCTCGTAGAGCACTTTTAAGTTGGCAGTGAAACCGTTCAACTTAACCATTTGGTGCTGGGTGGTAGACGGATATGCTTATGCGTATGCATTCCGTACCAAGCAGCCGGGTCAGCGAGGAGAATCGTTAATAGGGTAACATTTCTCGAATAAAGCGTGGAATTCATCGTCACGCGAATAAAAAGTGACAAGGAATCGGTACACATACGTGTTAGTCTATTATATTAATACTATTCTTATCGTTATCCATTATGTCGCGTATATTGTATATTAAAAATATGAAAATATACGACAGACGTGGATAGATAAATCATAGACTCACCGAATTGCCTTCTTTGGAAGATTTGATCAGAAGTTGAGGCGTGTTCCAAAATACGGGTCACCAATTGTAGCGTGGCGTCGAGTCGAAATTGACTATGAACACCGCTACCAAGAAACACGTGCCAAATAAATCAGAAGGCGAGGGTTGGACGTAACCAAATAGATCCATAAAATCCCCGAGAAGCCAAATATCAGAAGGCAATTAATGGACCAAGTCGATGTTTATTTGCTGGCGATCTCGTGGCATCGAAAGGATACCGAGATCGTGCCAGGATACAACCTTGGTTACAGAAGGTAACCGAATTCGCGCGAAGTTACAATCAAAGTGTAAGTAAAAGAATGGAAGCACAAAATAGCTGTCATTAGCACAGTCAAACAAAAGCACGTTAAAATAAACACTGGTACAGTTGGTTATAATAATAATTGTTTTTATTAAACCAGTCGTGTTCTCGTGATAAACGTGAGTCACTACATCCTCAACATTTGATGCTGACCGCATCAGTTTTAATGGACTCACTCAGAAGAAGGTGCTCTGTCAAGCATCCGCATCAGGTCATGATTGGGTACACCGTGCTTCACATTTTCTACGACCCCCAATCAGCTTAGATTGGTCACTTCTCGATATATTGATGTTCTATCAAAAGTATATTCGAACATTTTTGGATATTTTTTATCATCCATTGTTGTACCTTATATTCATCCTGGCCGAAAAGACTTATATTATTTAAGATCAAGACTCTTATGCTACCCTAATTTCAGCTAATGTCATTCTATCCAGACAACATCGAAGCCTGGTTCTGTTACACAGGAACTGACCTCCACGAGTACGGTGTGATCGATCCACGTGCACAATTCCTCGCAGTAGTAAAGGCACTACACGCAAATTCAACAGGCACTTTACACTCATTATGTTCACTTATGATGGACAACGATCGATGGTCGATTGTGTCTCGGAACCTTGTGAAACTTAATAATAATATATTTCTGCTAGGTCAGGTACATACCATTTTAACAGGCATGATCCACAAATTACAACATAAGTTTGCTTACAGTATGCTTCCTAAGTATAAAATAAATAGATGAAATCGATTAAAATAAATAACAATACATTCGTGCAGATGTTTTAGAGAGTTAAGTATCAGGTTTATGCGCTAGCATTAAACTGAGTACACTTTTTATAATATTTTCTAAAGTGGCATCGCGTCCATGTTACACACCAGATCAAAGCTCGGTGAAGAGAACACCTACAAAGCAGGAGCTACAGTTACATTTTACTCTGTACTATAAAATATCCAAGTGACTTATTCAGCTAGATAACGTGTCATTAGCTCTGAGGCAGATGGGTACGTTAACCATGCCTCCGTCACCGACAATGTTACCCGAAAAGTTTGGGTTTACTCTCACAAATATTAATGAGTTGGAGGTTCGAGATTTATTACACTAAGATTCCAAAGTTGCTGTCATCACATCAAGAGTATGTATTTTTAACTGTAGCAACAAAGTATCGATAATGAGGTGAGGTTTATTGGTCCAGAGAGTATTATAACTTAATTAGCCTGATTTATCTACGAGTCAGCAGACTTCTTTCATGACCCCCTGATTGATGACGGCCTGTTTGGTGTTATTTTGAAGGAGTTTATTCGTAGGTATTAGGTGATAACGTCAAAGCATCAACTGTTATTGTTTAAATGTTGTCTGATTCTGCCTTGGTGATAACTGTAGTGTGGGTGAAGAATAGTGCATTTAATAATGGGACGTATTGAGTCAGCAAAAATTAGCACCCAAACCTCACGGTGCTAGGATTAGTCCTGATTTTTCCTCGCTGTCAGTTGTGTTGAGTCAAGTTCGTTGATGTTTAAAAAGTACAGAAAATACAGCAAATAGCTTTGTAATATATGTGGGTGGAAATTGTTACTGCAACTAAATGAAACAGAGTGTAATAACCCCCCTGATTTGTTGCAATTAATGGAGAATGGATTTAATTTATTACAACCAGTTAAGCATAGACGAAAGAAAATTAAGGCTGTTCCAAGCTAACGATGATTAGGAAAAGCACAATCTGTTCGTTTCATATCCATAGGACTCTACCTGGAGAAATCTGGAATTTATTGTTTCCAAACACAAAACCCGTTAATCATAAGTCTCTGTCACTTTGACGGCCATTTTGACAATCTGATCTCTGTGAGAAGACCTATATGCTAGGGGAGTTTTTTCGTTTTTGGCACTTAGACTCGTCTTCTTTGCTCAA